TCCTGACACTGGGACCAGCAGGAGGCCAGTCCCTGTGCTCCTCAGAGCAGTGGGGGCAAAAATAGCTAGAATTTTAGAAAATGTCTAAACTGAATAAAAGTAATCCTCTTGTGGACTCACCACCTATGAGACTTGGGTGGCATCTCTGATTGCCACCCCCCTGACCCAGAAATGGATTAAAGGGTAGAAAATGGATGGATGAATAAAAGTAAGTACTAGTAAACAAGCGTTTGTCTTGTCTTGTAATTTTTTGTATCCAGCTGTCAAAATATGTTGCAATTTAGGCCTGAGAATTTAATCCAGCATTTATTGATATACATTTACTGTACAATTTTTTTTTACTCTTTTAATAATGCTAGAAAAAAAAGCTAGATCTCTGCCAGAAGATTTCACAATTCAATTCAACTTATTTTTGTACAGCCCTAAATCATAACATAATAATGCTAGAAAAAAAAAAGATTGTTGGAACAGAGCCAGTTTTATGAGATCAGTCGAATCATCTGAATGAATGTGAGAGAGAGACTGCAGCCAAATAAACTTCATCCCAGCTTCAAAATATTTCTGTTTTTTGTATCTTATTGTTATCAACCTGAAATATAGGTCTGAAATAGAATAATTACCACCACTACTGACTACTCACTTTTCACTCAAAAAAGTAAAACAAATTTCAACATACAGGCTGTCAAATATGGCAAACTGGATCAGAAATACCACAATTAGACATTTTTGCATCCTTATGTCGGTTCAGTTTCACCTTTCCCGTTAGTTTTAAGTTCAGCTTTAAGCCCCTTGTGCTTCAGCTGCAGGACGTTCGGACAGCACTAAAAATGGCGCTTCCCCGGGTGAGCGCCGCGTGCCGGGGAATGGCGAGGACATTTGGATGCGTCCCTCGGTTCCCTCTTCCTTCTCGGCTCGCGGGGCCAAGCTGCTGGCGATGGCAGATGGCCGTGGGCGGTTGTCACGGAGCCTAAACGTTGTGGAGAGGTGCAGATTGAGCCGCGTGGAGAGCAGAGGAGTGGGATGGGGTTATGGACACAGTATTGGGACAATGTGAGTAGGTCTGGGCTGGACACTGGGTTTTGCATCGGCGCCATACGGTCATTACGTGCGGGACAGTTGTGGCTGTTTGGCTCCATCTCTCTCTGTCTCTCTTTTTATGTATACGCACAAGGTCTGGGAGGAGATCTCTGCCAGAAGATCTCACTATTCAATTCAATTTATTTTTGTACAGCCCTAAATCACAACATTAGTTATCTCGGAGGACTTTACCAAACCGGGGGATTTGCCAACACAGACCAGAGAATCAATGTAATGATAGAGAACACACATAGAGGTATTGGTCCATAGGGGGCAGATGACCAATGTCCATAAATGTTGAGAAATGTTGAGTGTCCTGGATCAGCACCACTGTCCTTAGACCCTCCTGCATCGACAAAGAACGACCCAAAAAACCCAGTGGGAGAAAAGTGAGAAACCTTGGGAGGCCTACATGGAGGCTGTAGATCCAGGACTCAGGCTGTAGATCCAGGACTGAGGCTGTAGAATGAGGACTGAGGCTGTAGATCCAGGACTCAGGCTGTAGATCCAGGACTCAGGCTGTAGAATGAAGACTGAGGCTTTAGATCCAGGACTGAGGCAGTAGATCCAGGACTCAGGCTTTAGATCCAGGACTAAGGCTGTAGATCCAGGACTCAGGCTGTAGAATGAGGACTGAGGCTGTAGATCCAGGACTCAGGCTGTAGATCCAGGACTCAGGCTGTAGAATGAAGACTGAGGCTTTAGATCCAGGACTGAGGCAGTAGATCCAGGACTCAGGCTTTAGATCCAGGACTAAGGCTGTAGATCCAGGACTCAGGCTGTAGATCCAGGACTAAGGCTGTAGATCCAGGACTCAGGCTGTAGATCCAGGACTGAGTCTATAGAGCGGCTGCAATCTCACTATGCATTCAAATGGTTTATGATCTGGAGTAATTCTCTTCCAGGATGCTTATTATTATAATAATTATCTTAAATTGACCGAGAAACACTGGAGTGAAGCCAATTAGATTCAGATTCAGTTGATTTGCCATTTGCAGTAAAACCACACTAGAATACATGCACAGGATGAGTACATACATAAAACAAGCTAAAAAGTACAAGAAACAATTGTCACTGTTAAACCAATCAACAAAAACAGTTCTGATTATTCTTATGAAAGGGTAATTTATTTTAAATACATACACATATTTTATGTCCCCAGATAGCAGGTGAACGAGTACACATCATACATGGCATTTTCTGATGGTTTTAAAGAGTTATTCTTTACGATTATGTTTACCATTTTCAAGCGCAGAATCTCGTTTGAGTTGCCAGTTTGTTAGGTGAAATCTAGCAGGTCTTGGCTCTTTTGTTGTTGTTGTTGAGGTTTTGTGGAAATGTAAAGTGCGTTATAAATAAAATGTATTATTAGTATTCTTGTGTTTATATCAACTTTACCCAAAAAAAAAAACCAGATTTGTTTAAATAAAATCTCTAACTTTAGCATAGTAAAGAAGCAAGTATGACATCTGTAACTTATAACAGCATAACAAAATAAGGTGGTTTTTATCTCCTTTAACCATCGCTTTAAATAACACGAGACAAAAACGGGTGTGAAAAGTGTGCGTGGTTCGGGTTTAAAACTAAAAACGGACTTTAAGTGTGTTATTGAGAGATCCCTGTTTGTGTCTGGTCCTAATTAAAGAATTAGGATTAACGTCATCACCTGCTCTGGTCTCGAGCTCAGTGTTTGGGTGAATAACAGGACGAACAAACTTTAACGATACAACCACCGTCTACCACAGTGTAACAGTAAACGTCACTGTAGAAGAAAGGGTCAATCTGCGTTAATTAGTTATTTTGCTCATTTTTAGTAATGTCTTGATTTGACAGTACAATACAATAATAGGAATTTAGCAAACAAAGTACAGTTAGAAATGCATACATACATAGACACACACGCACACACACACGCACACACACACACACACACGCTCATATTAGAAAACATATATATTTTGTCCTCTGCACTCATGAAAAACAGTGTGACTACTTTTTTATAGCCAAGAGCCAGGAAAAGCTCCTTAGCAACTGTTGCTATGACCAAAATGTAGACACGCACTGGAGGAGAAAAAGTTTTGAAAAACTATACGTGTTTTGAAACGTAATTCAACATCCAATTTTAAATCAGACTTTTAAAACCACCTTTGTAATCCAAAAAGTAAATGAACTGTTTTTGCTTAATGTTTTGTGTGACTATGATAGATCGATAGATTGATTGATCGATTGATTGATGGAGGTGTCCAGCAGCAAACACATCCATCCATACAAAAAAATAGATACATAGTTTTAAAAGTTACTAACAATTGTAATAAACTGCAAATACTTAAATAATTGCAAATAGTGGATTCTGAACACTGTGCGATGTTGTGATGTTTCGCACTGGACAGATGCCCCTGACTTTGACCTGTCTGCACTGGGACCGATCCATCTATACCCGGGACACGGCATGGCCTCCTGTGTGCGTGTGTGTGTGTGTGCGTGTCTTTGCGTGTCTGTGTATGTGTGCGTGTGTGTGGTTGCATAAGCGGATCTGTCCCAGAGCTTAACCAGGATTTAAAGCCATGTCTCTCACTTTCTCTCCTCCCACAAACTCTGGTTTTCACTCTCCCTTTTCCCCCACACCTTGGTCTGTGTCATCACCGGACAAAGTAGCTGCTAAGACTTGTTGTATTTGTGACAGGCTAGAATGCATTTCATCATTATTCAAGATTTTGGTCACGATAATCCTTCTTCCTCGTTGGACATGAGCCACAGATATGACACAGAGGTTGTTACACACCTTTGTTTTGATACAGGATTTTGGGTTAGGGTTAGGGACATACAAGGGGATATTTATAGATTTGAAAACTGACAGGGATTGGCCTGAGTGCTGCTGAATTTGCAAGTATACAGGCTTGTTGTGGGTAGGTTGCTATGATACAGTAGTAGATACTAAAGCGTAATGGAAACGCAACCAGGTAGAGCTGAGGAGAGCAGGGCCAGTGCCAGTGCTGATGGAAACTAGTGGTGGGAATTGGCAAAAATGTGAGGATTGTATTGTGATATTTGGCCCACATTTCAATATTATAGTTGGTAAGTAAGTCATTTTTATTTATATACCGCCTTTCACAGACCAGTCACAAAGTGGTTTACAATTGTGGGCATTTGTCACTCACTCCACACAGAAATGGGAGTGAGTTATTGCGATTCTTAAAATATTTTGAGACAGCACGTACTGCGATTCATGTCCCTCATATTATACAAAGGCATTATGAAAAATACAGGAAAATAACACTCAACTCAAATATCACATTTATTATGGTCTGCAGATTAACTAAAGTGCAAAAACTTACAGACAAGGGATCATTATTTGGTGAATAGACGACCTCTCACATGAATGTTGAGCTCCCATCACTTAAATTATTCAAATACAATAAACTAGAGTCACAAAAAGCAAAAAGCAGATACAACAGTGTAACCTAAACCTCAGCAAACTCAGACAAAACACAAAAGTGGAACAGATACTTATTTAATGAAATATCACAATACATTATCGCTGTAATTCTGTGTGCAAACTGCAAAATATCGAAATATCGTTTTTTCCCCAGCACTAGTGGAAACGGCTTTACATCATGTTTACTATTAGTTTAGTTTTTCACCTACACATTCCTGATCTAGTCCTGGAATACTCACAGCAGTCCACATCCACACTTGTCTCATGTGTTTTGGTCTCAGTAAAAAACAAGTAGGTCCATGTTTAAGTGCTTTTGGTTTTAGTGCTCGATACCGGCGTGTTGAAGTTAACGCAGCTCTGAAGATGAGATAAACAGCGGTTGCAGAGCGCCCCTGGTTCCTTTCTGCCAAAGAAGGACACACCGTTTTGTGCTCGGACTGAAACACATTCAAAGCAGTCGTTGAATGCGCTCTCCTCTGCTCCACAGATCGACTTGGAGCCAGAGGGAAGGGTCTTCGTGGTCATCGACTTGTCCGGCTCGTCCACTGAAGGTAAGAGGACTTTTTAAGGCTTATTCACATGTCGTCGTTTTTTTTGGCTGGATCGGTTCAGAGTAATTGTGTGAATTAATGAAAATTATTGTATTCTAGCTCCTGACAGGTCTCTCTATAACGGGATCAAAGAACGGATTAAATTAGAATCAGAATTGTTATTTATTGCCATTGTAAGTAACAGGAAGTCACAAACTCGGAATTTACTTTGGCTCAAGGTTCAAATGAGTTGTAAAATCTTCATAAAATGTGGGCTAAGAACACAATGGTGCAAATGCAGAGGACAATAAGTCAGCCTTAAAGGTGAGGTACATAACTTTTTTATAATGAACAGAAAGATCAAATTGGAAATAAATCGGACCACAAAATACTGTCTTTATGTTTATATCTATATCTTTATATCCTCATACATGTGTTCAGCCTGTAAGTGTGATTTATGGTATGGACAATATTCCATTTTATCCCTATGAAGCTAAGCAGGGCAGAGCCTGGTTAGTACTGTGATGGGGGACCTTTGGGAACACCAAGTGCCACAGTGGGACGGCTGTAAAGTGCCAAACTGTTGTTGTGTGCTTAGGCAAGACACTTCACCCACATTAGAGAGAGTCTGGTGTGTGCGTGATTGGTGGTGGTGGGAGGGGCCGATGGCACATACTGGTTGCCTCTCTTCTGTCAGTGTGCCTCAGGGCAGCTGTGGAGTGAATGAATAATGTCATGTGAAGCGTCTTTGAGTATCCAAAAAAGCGCAATATAAAACTCAGGCATTCTTATCATTATTATTATTATTATTATTATGAATTGTTTCAGAAAGTTGTCGAAAACAGTGCAGTAACTAAGCCATGTTGTCGTGTTCCATTTCCCATGTTACGTCCCCTTTAACAATAGAGATATTAGCTGCAATATGTCGTCCACTCCTCAACCTTTTGTTCTTCTTCAAATCAGCAGAATTTGCCCTAAATCTGACCTGACAGTGCGTCGCGTTTGTAATCCCTGTTTCCTGGAAGGATTCTGAGGTCACAGACGCAGCTCAGAGTTCACCTCCCACATGCGATCGTTTCAATGACAGACGTTACATATGTGCTTTATGTCGTCTGCGGCTTTTCTTCAATCTTTGTGAATAAGACTGTGGCCAAAATATCTATGGGAGGCAGAGTTGTCAAACCTGTCTCTACAGAAATGTGCTAAAAGTGTACGTTCGTTATGTCTCTTTGTGTTTTTTTCACGCATTTACAGAGCTTTCGTGTGTCTAAATTAAAGATAACAGATTGAATATAATAATAATTTTGAATTGAAAATTGAGGACTGTTCCCATAGTGATTGACACTTCATAAAATGGGTCCTCAAAATCAGAATTTTTTCTAGTCCTGGTTCAGTCCGATCTCTCTCTGGGCCTGGTTTAGTCCAGTTTCTCTCTAGTCCTGGCTCAGTCCTGTCTCTCTCTGGTCCTGGTTCAGTCCAGTTTCTCTTTAGTCCTGGCTCAGTCCTGTCTCTCTCTGGTCCTGGTTCAGTCTGGTTTCTCTCTGGTCCTGGTTCAGTTCTGTCTCTCTCTGGTCCTGGTTCAGTCTAGTCCCTCTCTGGTCCTGGTTCAGTCCCTCTCTGGTCCTGGTTCAGTTCTAGTCTCTCTCTGGTCCTGGTTCAGTCTAGTCCCTCTCTGGTCCTGGTTCAGTCTAGTCCCTCTCTGGTCCTGGTTCAGTTCTGTCTCTCTCTGGTCCTGGTTCAGTCTAGTCCCTCTCTGATCCTGGTTCAGCCTAGTCTCTCTCTGGTCCTGGTTATGTCTAGTCTCTCCATGGTCCTGCTTCAGTTCTGTCTCTCTATGGTCCTGGTTCAGTCCTGTCTCTCTATGGTCCTGGTATTCAATTCGGTCTCTCTATACGACTCCAGATAAGCCCTAAAACTCACCCAAAAACTTCAGAAAGCACATCCAAATGTCTCTCTATCATAATTGATGCCCAGAATCCATGCCTTTGCTTAATGATATTTGTATTGTTATTGATGATCCACCATTAGTACCACTACTAATGGTATCGCTTTAAGCTGGAGTCACTTTCAAACAGCAATAAATGTAGCTATGTAATAACGCTAAAGCATCTAGCTAGTTCCTATAACTCATGACACTTTGGTTCCATCACTCATTTTCACATTCATATATTATCAGCCTCTGTCTCATTTATAAATCATGTTTTTTCGACAAAATAGGGGAAAAAGAGAAGGACCAGCCTCGCTCAACCAATCAGCTCTCAGCCCAAAGTGTGACATAGTAATCACATGGCTTTTTCGGACAATTACGCAACAGATAAAACAAAATCTACGAGTATAAATAGCCACAAATAATGCATAATATGTCTTCTTTAAGTTCCTTTATTCGTCCCACAGTGGCGAAATGTCAGTGTTGCATCACTAGTTACAGAACAGAAAGAATGAGGAGCACACAGCACAAGATGAAAGAACTAGGGATGTACCGATCCAGATTTTTTGTGATCCGATTCCAATATTCTTAAATATTGTTTTGCCGATACCGATCCAATACCGATCCAATACCGATCCAATTTTTTAAAATATTTTCAAAGCATTAAAAATTTTGAAACCAGTATTACTTTAAAATGTTTTTTTTTTAAATTATTATTATAACATGATCAAAAATATTGTTTGGCTTTTGCTTAACAGACCTTCACCTTTAAAATAAACTTGATATAAAAGAAATATCAAAGAGGAACATTTATCAAAAATCTGCACTCTGTAAATGTAAACTCCCCGATATTTAACAAATCCAATAATATCCGATCCTTACAAAATACCCATATGGGCCCCCGATACCGATACCGAATATCGGATCGGTACATGGCTAAAAAGAACGATAAAAAAAATCTCTAGCTTTAGCTTCAAAGAGAAATCAAAGTATAAAATCTCGAGCTTTAGCAGAATACAGAAGCAAGTAAAAATGTCTAGCTTTGTCATAATACAGAAGCAAGTATAAAATCCTGTATATACTAGTGCAAGACATATATAGTTGTATCTATACATCTGTACATGTTAGCAGTGGACACTTGTGATTCTATATTGCACATTCTGACATATTATTGCACATTCTGACATATTATTGCGCATTCTGACATTTTTGCGCAGAGGCAGTAAAGTAAAGTGATAGCGGTTCTCACTCGATACGGTAAAAACTCTGGCGGTCTGTAGCGAAGTGGCGTCAGGTCTACTGGGAGTCTGTGATAGAGACTTTTCCTGCACCTGCGTATCTTCACACCTGGATATAAATAGAAGCGCCGGCAGCTCTCCTCGGCGCGTGCTCGGTCAGTGTGAGGAGGAGGAGGAGGAGGAGGAGGAGGAGGAGGAAGAGGCCCAGCGGGAACAGGAGCCTGGGAATGCACGTAACAATAGCTCGACTTTGTTTAGTGATGTGGTGTTCTGTCAGCTGTGGGTGGAGCACAGGGCTGGGTCATGATGCAAAAACATATGCATTTAAATTTAAGGTCAAAACACTAGGGATTCTTCAATTAGGGATGGGAATGGGCAAAAAAGAAACGATTTGATGGTGTTTATAGGCCACAATTCAATAGGATTGCGCTTCAGAATATATTGTGATACAGCAAGGATTACATTTAGATTCTGTGAGATATTCGATTCTTGTTCCCATCTTATTCGAAGGTGTTATAACAAAAATAAGAGGAAAATAAGGCTGCTCAAGTCAAAGGTCACATTTATTATGGTCTGCACATTAACTGAAGCAAATACGTGAACATTCAGGCCTGGTTCAGTCCTGGTTCAGTCCTGGTTCAGTCCTGGTTCAGTCCTGGTTCAGTCCTGTCTATTTTTTGGTCCGGCTTCAGTCCTGGTTCAGTCCTGGTTCAGTCTGGTCTCTCTTCAGTCCTGGTTCAGTCTGGTCTCTCTGGTCCTGCTTTAGTCCTGGTTCAGTCCTGCTTCAGTCCTGGTTCAGTCCGGTCTCTCTGGTCCTGGTTCAGTCCGGTCTCTCTGTGGTCCTGCTTCAGTCCTGGTCCAGTCCTGGTTCAGTCCGGTCTCTCTCTGGTGGTCCTGCTTCAGTCCTGGTCCAGTCCTGGTTCAGTCCGGTCTCTCTCTGGTGGTCCTGCTTCAGTCCTGGTCCAGTCCGGTCTCTCTGGTCCTGCTTCAGTCCTGGTTCAGTCCGGTCTCTCTCTGGTCCTGCTTCAGTCCTGGTCCAGTCCGGTCTCTCTCTGGTCCTGCTTCTGTCCTGGTCCAGTCCGGTCTCTCTGGTCCTCGAGTGAGGGCGCCACGGTGGCTGAGTGGATAGCACTCTCGCCTCTCAGCAAGAAGGTCCTGGGTTCGAATCCCGGTCGGACCAGGGCCTTTCTGAGTGGAGTTTGCATGTTCTCCCCGTGTCTGCGTAGGTTTCCTCTGGGTACTCCGGTTTCCCCTACCACTAAAAATATGTCCAATAGTTCTGGCATGCGCTTCCTGTACTGGCCCCGCTCCCATCTCTGTGTGGAGTGAGAGACAAATGCCCAAAATTAACAATTGTAAACAATTAATATATTATATTAATATATATATAATATTGCAAACAATATAAATAAAAACTTACTTACTCCTTCAGTCCTGGTCCAGTCTGGTCTCTCTGGTCCTGCTTCAGTCCTGCTTCAGTCCTGCTTCAGTCCTGGTTCAGTCCGGTCTTTCTGGTCCTGCTTCAGTCCTGGTTCAGTCCTGGTTCAGTCCGGTCTTTCTGCTCCTGCTTCAGTCTTCAGTCCTGGTCCAGTCCGGTCTCTCTGGTCCTGCTTCAGTCCGGTCTTGCTGCTAATACAGAATCTTGTGCTGTTTGTTTTGACTGTCGCTCTTGATCTTCTGCAGCAAAGGAAACTATTCAATAAAGTTTCTCGGCAACGGTTCTGTGTCTGCTGCGAAAGAACATTATAAATTATCTTGTTTATCAAAAAGAAGAATCATAGTTTGATCATGACATTCACCAGTTGCGTAAAACCAGTGGCTGAGAATGTAAAATAATGACAATACCATAAAATATT